ATGGGAACATTGTGATGGCCGGTGGCCCATGGCAGCGACTCAAACGGCGGCTGGAAAAACAGTGGAGAAGAAAAAGGATGGCGGACGTCCGACGACAAGGAAGCAGGCAGAACCGAGCTGTCGGACTCGGTGATGCAACCGGTTGCTGATGAGGGCTCCAATGGTGGTGGCGACTACCGGAAGTGAAGATGGAGAGGGTGACGGCTGTTGCACATTAGGGTTAGGGTTATGAGAACAATGATACAGTTAAATACCCGATGTTTGAAACTCACGGCCATATTGACAGGAATGGTCCATCTGTCACCATTTTCTTTCAAAACAAATCAACAAATTATCTTTTTAACCCCAGCATTAAAAATCCATTACAATCTAGGTACATTATTTACCAAACAGGCCCCTAGCCTCCAAAATCTCTTCAAATGAAGTCCCATAAATTACCATTTTGTCCCTGCCTTCAATAATACTTACAAATTAAGTCCGGATTTTACACTTTAATCCCCGCCTTCTAAAATTATGACAGTTAACTCCTCGAGACCAACACCTTGCTATATAATTATTAAATTTTGGGCTAATATTCATTCATTAATTTGTTTATTTATTTATTAAATAAACAGGGTGTTACACTTCTGAGGAAATGAGTGGACTCGACGAGTCACATGGGTGCACTCGGTGAGTCAGGTCAAACATGGACTGTTGACTCGAGTCTGACTTCTGTTGACTTAAGGGTTGGGTCAAACATGAGTAATGGAGACCATAGAGGGGTAAAATGGTCTTTTATCCACTTCAAGAGTTAGAGAGAGAAAGAATAGCCTTTGGTTATTAGAGTCGTGAAAAGAGTATTAATTAGAGATATTTATCCTTTGTGTTAGGCGGAGGTTAGTTCGAGATTCGGGTACGAGGTTATTTGCTTGCTTGCGAGGTGAGTGTTCTCACTATACTTATCATGAGTGGTACCTTTATATGACTGAGATGTCTTATGTGTTATTCTGAGTACTGTGATATCCTGCATCATGTCTATGTGATTTATGATGTGTATTATTTTGTGCTTACTGAGTTAGGACCGGAGGGTCCACCCGAGTTATGGGACCGGAGGGTCCCACTGAGACACATTGACCAGAGGGTCCTGTTGTGTTATAGCCTCGAGTGGCTAATGGGATATGTGTGGTATTTTGGGGAACTCACTAAGCTTCGTGCTTACCGTGTTATGTGTTATGTGTTTCAGGTTTTTCTCAGGATCACGGGAAGGCACCGGCTTGATCGTACACACCGGTGAAAGAGTTATGTTTTGAGGATCCTGGATTTTAATGAAACAATTATGGAGTTCAAATTGTAAATTAAATAAATGAGATTTTTGTGAAATGTGCTACGAGAATCATGTGATTTTTAAACGAAAAATTTGTTTTATAACTTTCGGTGTTACAGTGTGTAAGCTTGAGAAATCAATCTATGGGTTGAAACAAGCTTCTCGCAGATGAAATCTTTTCTTTGACGAGAAAGTTAAAGAGTTTGGCTTCTCTATAAGTGAAGATGAATCTTGTGTATATGTCAAAGCTAGTGGGAGCATAGTAACCTTCCTGGTATTGTATGTTGATGACATACTTCTTATAGGGAACGACATTCCAACTTTGTAAGAAGTTAAGTCTTGCCTTGGAAAGTGTATCGCTATGAAGAATCTGGGAGAGGCTGCTTATATTCTAGGGATAAGAATTTTGAGAAACAGGAGCAAAAGACTAATTGGACTTAGTCAAATTACGTACTTGGATAAGGTGTTAAAGCGTTTTAGCATGCAAAATTCCAAGAAAAGAGAACTGCCTATCCAGAGTAATACCAAACCGAGTAAGACTTAAAGTCCGAGTACTGATACAAAGACAACAGAAATGAGTCGAGTTCCATTTCTTCCGCCGGTGGATCGATCATGTATGCTATGACATGTACTCGACCTAACGTGGCTTTTGCTTTGAGCATGGTTAGTCGATATAAAGGAAATCCGGGTAGAGCTCATTAGATAGCAGTCAAGAATATTCTTAAGTATCATCGGAGAACTAAGGACTGGTTCCTTGTGCTTGGTGGAAGTGATAACTTAAGAGTGACTGGGTATAGTAACGCCAACTTTCAGACAGATAGATACAACTTTCGTTCTCAATCTGGTTGGGTGTTTACCTTAAATGGAGGAGCGTTAACTTGGAAAAGTTCCAAACAGGAGATGGTGGTTGATTCTACCTATGAATCAGAGTACATAGCAGCAAGCGAAGCATCGAAGGAGGTTATATGGTTGAAGAACTTCATCGGAGACCTTGGAGTTGTGCCAACCATAAAGGAGCCAATGGATATTTTCTGTGATAATGAAGGAGATGTTGCCTTGACAAAGGAACCAAGAGATCATGGCAGATCAAGACATATCGACAGAAAATACCATTTTATCAGACATAGAGTAGAAGAAGGACACATCGTCGTGAAGAGGGTATCATCGGAAGAGAATCATGCAGATCCCCCCACAAAGGATTAAGCACGTTTAGCATGCAAGGAGCATTGGTATGAAAGATGATATTAGTTTTAGCAATTATATAGGTATTTAGAAACTTTTAACAAAGTAAATGTAATTGACATTTGATGATTAAATAATGGATAATTATTTATGAGTATTGTTTACTAGTCAATTGTTTATTATTATGATTCATTTTGCATGTTTTACTTTCAGAATAATTGGATTATTCAAACATTCACAGTCGATCGTATTTTTTGGAAAGTAGTGAATTAAGACTATCATGAATCGGACTGTAGATTGTCTAAGGGTTTAGACATAGCAATAATTTGCTATAGTATTCATGAGTACTTTGAAATGGAGAATTTGAGTATTGGATTAACCCACGCTCAGAGAATTACCTCATGGACTTTATCACGAGTAATTCTGAGACAATAATATCTTATAATCTTTAAACGGAGATATATGAGTCGTGGTTTACAAATCAATTATGCATTAATGATATGTAAACAGATCAGTAGCTTGATGTTATAAAACGTATTGTTCTGCATGATTTGGTGAGTAGATATCACAAGCATATAAGTCAAAGTTTATCTGTTCCTTTTGCCTTAACGTGAACAACGATATATCGGGCCCCTCGATGATTTGGTGTTGACTTATAGTGTCGGGCTTGACCAGGACTTAATTGATGTGTTCGATTTGAAGTTCTTTGTCATTACAAATCAGAAATCGAGAAACAAAGTATTAAACAATGAGATTGATTATGTTCCTTGTCATTTGTCCACATGATATCTTGTAGAAGGGAGGATTATATGATCACTTATCTTAGGAAACATAATTGACTAGGTCAGAGTTCGACAACAGCTTTGAGAACTACAATTTGCTAATCACTTTAGAAGTTATACTGGCAACTATAATTATTAGACTTATCCAAGTGGGAGACTGTTGGAATAGGTGTCTAAGCTCATAACTATAATTGGTATATACCTGAATTTATAGTAGCACAGTCCTTTTGAGTTGCCCTTATAACTAACGACTAGACATGATGACTTTTGGAGAGAGAGGTTGAATTTATTATTTGATTAATAAATTGAAATAAATGATTTGTTAATATATTATGAAAATAATATATTAATTAGAAATAGTAATATTTAATTAATATTTAATCAGAAATTAATTGGAATTAATTATGGGATTAAAAGAATTAATTAAAAGTGCAAGGTTTAAAGTGCAATTATTTAGTAGTTGAGCAAGACGTTCCAGAACCTTCCTAGGGAAGGAGGTGGACGATTTCTATATGGATAATCTAGGGTCTCTAGATTATCCCATGTGGATATATAAGGAGCTGGATAATTACCAATTTGAAATATTAATATTATATTCAGATTAAGGTTATTCAGGGCATCCTAGCTGCACTATAAATAGACCTCTACCCCTTAGGATTTTCGGCCACTTGAAACCCTAGAAGAATAGCCGAAATTCTTAAGCTTCTCCTCAATTCTCCTTTCTCATCATCTTGTTAGTGTTGGGTATGATCTACTTGAGGCACGACACTTGTGGTGCTTGCTCTTGGAGCTTCAACAACACAAAGGATTTGTATTGTTATTGCTATATAACAATTAAGGTATGTTTTCTTAACCCTAGTTAGTGATTTCGAAAATATAGTAGTAGTCTTAGGGTTTTCCATTTGATGTTCAAAAGTTGTATGTTCAAATAGAGAAAACATAGATCAAGAATTAGGGTTGCATGCACACATAGGTTTTTGTTTGTTATGCTCAAAATCTAGACCTGGCAATTTCAGACACGAAGACACGAATCTGTAAGAGACACGACACGACACGAATACATCTTAAAAATTGAGATAAAGCTTATTTCTTATTGTGTAATCGTATCGTGTCAAATTCATGGCTGACACGTTTTCATGACACGAATACACGAATTGCCAGGTCTATCAAAATCCAACAATAACATCTCCTGAAAGGGTGACTATGCCCTTTCTGTTAACTTGGAAGTGAGTTTGAACCAATGAACCGACCTTCAGACACCATTTGCGAAAAAATACTCTGACGAAAAGATGAGAAAAAGAGAAGAAGATATGTGATGAGTTCGATGCAAACCCTATATTTGAAAGCAATCATGTCACATAAGATCCAACATGGCTTCCACATCATAATATTGTCATGTCATTTATTTGGTAACATGTTAGATTGATGGTAACCGGTCAATTGGTTGACATTGCAACAAAATTGTAAATATAATGACATAATTGCGAAAAATAAAACAGAATGTAAAAATTGAAGATTTGGTAAACTTAGTGACATAATTGCAATTTGGAAAAAATGGTTACCGGGAGAATAGAGAGAACTGATCATTTGGTTGATATTACAGCAAAATTATAAATATAGTGACTTAATTGATAGAAAAAAATGTACGACATCAAAATCAATTTTCGATAACCTTCATGATTTTATTGCAATTTGCCCTTAAAAATTAAAACAAATGGAAAGAATTTCCAAATATGCATATCAACATATTGTCAAAGGACTGTTCTTGTATGTGGGAAGAAAAAACAAGAAGGGTTTTAAACGGAGAGTTCAGTTCTCCTCCGAGCAGAATCACAATGAAAGCCGTGGTCCAGCGAGTTGCCTCCGCCAGCGTCGAGGTTCTTCATACCAGATACATATATTTACATTCACACTTCACATATCCATCGATCTAATTCGAATCAGGGTATATCTGTGCGTAATTTCAGGTGGAAGGATCTACAGTGTCGGCAATCGGGCCAGGACTCCTTGTACTCGTCGGAATTCACGACCTCGATACAGATTCTGATGCTGATTATATGTATGTTTTCTCACAAAACCCCTCTTTCATTCGTCATTTCTGTTCCTCACAATCATATGCATTTAAAAAAAATGATGTATTGGTGAGTAAATAGATTGGGGGAAAAGGGTTTGATAACTGAATGCTTCTTGATATTTTTGCAGATGTCGTAAGGTGTTGAACATGAGATTGTTTCCTAACGAAAAAACAGGCAAAACATGGGACCAAAGTGTAACTCTCTCTCATTCTTTTTCTCTCTTAATAGAAACATGATCTGAGAATTCGCACATTTTCATGATTTCATCTTCTAATTGATGTGAATCCTATATTTTATGACGAATTTATAGTTGTTTACCTTTTGTGAATTGAATTCAAGTAACCTAAACTGTTTGCTAAGGTCGTGTTTGTTATATTTCAGGTAATGCAGAAAAATTACGAGGTTCTATTAGGTAAAGGAAATGTTTCTTCCTTAATTTTTTTTTTTTTTAAAAATATTTTACAGAATGCTTTTAATAAAAAATAAAACATTTTTTAATGCTATTTGGAAATACAGTGAGTCAATTTACATTGTATGGTATAATGAAGGGTAACAAGCCAGATTTTCATGTGGCAATGGCACCCGATAGAGCAAAATCCTTCTATGCTTCTTTAGTGGAAAGATTCCAAAGAAGTTACAAATTAGAATCAGTAAAAGGTATATTTTACTTAGTTGTGTTGTCTAGATGAATGATGTTTAAAAATGTTCGAGAAAACGATCCTAAATTTGTCAAAATTTAGGACGTAACAGGAAAAAAGAAAACAAAAATGTTTTCTTTTTTCCTGACTTTTTCTGTTAAGTGAAAAAGAAACATCTAACAGAAAAAGTATATAAATTATACAGTACCTATGATTTATTATAATTTATATTTTAAATTTTCTTTATGTAGTAACTAGTAAGGTTATTATTTATTTAGAATTCAGATATTGATGTTTTAATATTATTGTTTTGGGTTGTGTTTCTCCAGATGGAGTCTTTGGAGCAATGATGAAGGTGAGGTTCCCATTTAGGAACAAGAATTTCATTTCTTAAAAAAAAAAAGATGAAAATATGTACTTTATTTTACACCTATAATAGCAATGTACTTGTATTTCCATACTCATTATAGCAATGTACTTGTCTTTTTTTTTTTTAATTGATAATAGCAATATTTAATTCATAACAACAATGTGCTTACATTTTCTTCACACCTAATAGCAATATAGTTGCAAATTGCAACTTTTTTACACATAATAAAAGCGTACTTATGTTTTTTTTAATGATAATAGCAATATGTAATAAATAAAGTATATTGCACATATTGGTAGCAAAATATAAGTATAAACTATAAAATATATACGTAGGTTGCTGTTATGGATTAAAAAAAAAAGTCAAATGCCTGCTTTTATTTAAAAAGTTAATAATCATCGTGGTTATCAAAATTTTATAAACTAAAATTGCTTCCACTTTTTTCACCATAATTCTCCCTTGAGCTTCAATCTAACTTGTAATTCTTTTATTGTTGGAAGGTCAATTTGGTAAATGATGGTCCAGTTACAATGCAACTCGAGTCACCAAATTCATCAAGGTTAGGTCCTTCCCCATCCATGAATTTATTTACTTTATTTAAGTATTTATTTTAATAGTTTAATTTTACAACAAAAGTTAAATGCCATTTTAGGTGTACAAATGATGTAGCAGAGCCAGAAAAGACTTCAAATTGAATCATATGTATGGCATGTTTACACCACAAACGGAGTTACCATTGAATTTATAATGATTTATGTTTTTTTTGGATGATTAGAATTATAAAAAAAATTGATTACTTGCTATGATTTTGTTTTAAAATATCTAAATCCGAAAATCTGATCTCTACATATCAGGAAATCCGTTATAAATATTTAATATACGGATTTTAATAATGATTTTCCAAAATTTTGGATGTGCGGATTATCCAAAAAAAAAAAGCCGTAAATTCATGATTTTTTATTTTTTAGTTTGCAAGATTTTGTAATTTTTATTTTTGAAGTACTCGTATATTCAAAATGAAATAATTGAAGACATTTAATGGATGTAATGATTACTTTTATGAGTTCGGTTAAAACTTAAAAACTCGTGTGCCTTCTAATCTCGCACAAAAGTGCAATGTTGCTGACATAAAACCAATATATTTGTATGTTCAAATTTCAATATCATTCAAATTTTTTTATATGAATTGGGATTAGTAACTCTAATATTTAGAAGTTTTATCCCAAATTTTGGATATCGGATTCAAACACCCATACCTTACCTACGAGTATTGCAAGTGCTTCTTCTTTTGTGATATCCCGATCTTTGTTTCTATCAATCCTTTGCCCTTTTAGGGCTATCCATGGTTGTGCCATATCATCATGTATCCAGCAGTTTACAGTTAGATAAGACCGTGTTGTACAGATGTCAATTATCACCGGTCTGCAGTTAGATAAGACCGTGTTGTATAGATGTCAATTATCACCGGTCTATAGTTAGATAAGACCGTGTTGTACAGATGTTAATCATCACCGGTCTGCAGTTAGATAAGACCGTGTTGTACAGATGTCAATTATCACCGGTCTGTAGTTAGATAAGACCGTGTTGTACAGATGTCAATTATCACCGGTCTGCAGTTAGATAAGACCGTGTTGTACAGATGTCAGTTATCAGCGGTCTACAGTTAGATAAAGACCGTGTTGTACAGATGTCAATTATCACCGGTCTACAGTTAGATAAGACCGTGTTGTACATATGCCAATAATTTTTTCCCTTGATATATGCACTTGCTTGATAGTTGGCAATTACCATCATTATAATTTCAGTGGCTACTAAGAATTTTGAAAAGCCTATTGTGGTTTCATATTTTGGAGAGTTGTGGTTTTCTTTTTGTTCGTTGTGCACTTTGCTTTCTTTTCTGTTTTCTTTGTTGTTTTCTTCTGCAATTGATAGCTTTTCGCAAGATATTAAGCACACACCCTTTTGTTTTTGATGTTATGAATCGTTGAATTTAAAGAACTTTGTGAGGAGTGGAGCTGGAGCATATAAGATATAAGAGACGAGTATTGATTTCATCCTTGTTGGGCCCAGGCTTCCTAATCCATCATTCCTTTGTGGCCTACTTAACAATTAGTAGATTCATATTTGCCCAACTCTCTCCACCCTTGGGGAAGTTGTATTTTGTTGTATGACTTAAACTGAAACAATATTAGGGTCTAATATTGCTTGACCTTTATGAGAAAATGTTGGTGTATTTGAGAGGCTCCATTTAAATATGTTACCTTTTGGAAATGACTTTACATTCCATCATTTCGAAGCCTAAGTATAGAGGGAAACAACCCTTGGAATAGTTGAGAAGTAGAGCTGAATAGTTGAGAAGTAGAGCTGGTATTGGAGGGTGTTTGGCTTTCCTTTTTAAATGACTTTTAAGACTTTTGGCTTTTTCAAAAAGTCAAAAGTTTAAAAAGTTGTTTGGTAACTTCAAAAGATCTTTTAAATTAGTTTTTTGAGAAGAAGAAAAAGAAGGGGGGTTAAGAAGTCTCCCTTTTTTTTCCCTTTGCCCCCTCATTAGTTTATACAAGCATATTTTAAAACTATTTTTTGGAAAAATACATGAATCAAAAAGTCCTTTTCTAAAAAGGACTTTTTAGTTTAAAAAGCTATCCCAAACACCCCCTGGATCTTGATACGGAGATGAAAAATCTTTTGATTTAGAAATGAACAAAAAGGGTTTGTAGGCACTTCTAATCGGAAGGCTCTTCAAGTCTCTACAAAACCTTTTTGCTTATTGAAGATTTGTTATTTCTTCTTCTCATGCCTAGTTCCTGAGTTTTAGCAAACAAGTTGGGGCTAGCCCGATTGACTAACAAGGAGGTCATGAGTTCTTATAACAACTTGTTTGTAATATGTGTTAATACCAGATTTGGTGACATCTAATTTTAGAACTTTGCTTAATTTTTTCTAAGTGTTGGAAAGAAGATAGTATAGCTTGTCTATAGAATATGACTTCTTGTAAGTCAGGGTTGACCTAAATTATGTTGTGAAGACTCTACAATTTTGTATGTCAAAACTGATTAGAGTTCATGCCATGGGGAATTAGCGATAATACTTAATTCCAATGATTTTTTGTATGTTTTATTTCTTTTTTTTTTAAACGGCCAGCATATATTAAAAGAACCTAGCAACAGGCTAGTAGAAAAAGAAAAGTTACAAAGGATGAAAAAAGAAAGAAAACAAAATTACAACTGATTTTTGTATTCAAGAACGGGATCGGAGATCCAATCCTGCCACTTGATCTGATCACATTTTTTCTACAAATGTGAGACAGCAGTCGTATCTCTTTAACCAACACCGTTCTTGCTTTAGAGTTTTATTAATATATATCTTTAAACGATGCAACAATTAATGAAAGCAAAGTGGATGATGTTAATCTTTTGTTGAATTTATTAATATTAATAAATAAATAACTATTTTGGGAGATTCTATAGAAAAGGTATATTTGAGAAACTATTTAAAAAAACTCTATAACAGTTAATGCTAGTGTAAACATCTTTTTAAACAACTAGCTTATAAGTTATTTTTAACTTGTCAAAAACATATCAACCTATAAAAGCTAAAAATAAATAAATAAATAAACCAGATGTAACGCACAAAACATTATCTAAAAAGTTTGAAAAATAAGCTAGATGTTGTGCGGCAAACCATTAAATGCATCACATCTTTCTCATGACAAAAAAAACATACAACAAACGGTATGTAATGCAAAATAGTTGATTGTTGGCATTGTAACATGCACAATTTTCTGAAAAGGTGGTTGTATTTTTCACCTACTAGAAGATTGTACATTATAATGTCTCCCACCTTTTTTATGTTCTCTCTAGGATAAATAAAGATGTATTCTTATATGTTCGAGCATGAGTCGATCCTTAGAGAGTACTTAATAGTTATGAGCCAATTGTTTAATATAACTTAGGGAGAATTAGAGAGTACTTAACAGTTATGAGTCCCTTGTTTAGTATAACTTAGAGAGAACAATTTATTATGTGTAAGGATATAATTTATATTGGATCAAAAGTATATCATCTCATAAGTCGAGTGATTAACCAGATAGTGTTTACACTCTATCTTGTAAACACATTGTTTTACGTATTATATATTAAAAACCATAGAGATTAATCTGTTGATGTTATTTATGCTTTCTACTAAAAAAATATGTAATTGTTTTCAACATTTCTTCCTATCTTACAAATACCCTTCAAACATTTTATTCATTTTGTTTATTCTATATTTCCATACGACTCAAAGTGTCCTTTTTGATGTTGTCTACTTTTGTATGTCAAAAAAACAAACTATTGTTCACTCATAGACTATTGATCCTTACATAGTAATTCTGATGATTAGACCGTTTCTAACATTAACATCAAATTTTGCACCAAAATGGTGTAAATATAGTGTGTGATTCATTTGCAACCTTACACCATTTTTACACCAATTTTTATTTTCTAACTTATTTAGATTTTCAATAATAACCCCTTTTATTTATTAGATTTTTTAAAATTCACTTACATTAATTTGTTCCAATAAGTTTAATAACTATATTATTAAATAAATATTACAATACAAATAATTGATGTATAATTAATTTATACTAGTTGTTTGAAATTATAGAAATTCAAATGATGTGTAGAGCTTCATTCGAAACAAGCATCCATGTATAGTTTGTCACATATTAGAAGTCAAGTAGTTTGATCTTGCTGATGGAAGAAGGATTATAGGTTTGTGTAAGAGCTAGTGAGAGCATTATTGATCCCCTAAATTTGGCGTGTGATGAACACACAAATTATATGCATTTATTTTTGAAACTAATTGAATGTCAATCTAAATCTGGTATGCACCAGTGAAAGTAAAAACATTGAAAATCTTGAAATTGGTTAAAGATATATGATTTGGTTTATGAAGTTGCTTGCCACTTCGTCTAATGCTCCAACTCAATCTCCTGCTCCCGGGCTCTGGCAATCATATCCTCAAAGGTCTTGTAACTTGACATTCTCACAAACTCCTGAATGTTATCCCTGAACATATCATGGTACCTTGTCTTCTTCATCTCCTCATCCGCAACATACCGTGGAACCAGTAAAGCCCTCTCCCTAAATTTGGCGGTGATCTCCGCCATAGTCTTCATCGTCAGAAGAAGGTCCTGAAACTCCCTTGCCAACTGTTGCACCTCAATAACAGGTGCAAACTCCGCCCTGAATCTCATCACAAAATCAGTCCAAGTCATGGCCTCCACACCCTTAGCTCCCAATGCATCACCAACCTCCTCCCACCAGTCGTAATCTTGATCCCTCAGAAGGCAAGATGCAAACCCCACTTTCAGACCCCCATGGTAGAAACTCGTCCGCTGAGAATTCTCCATGTCTGCAATCATCATCTGCTAGCAATAAGGTCCTTCTTCCAAAAGAACTTTGGGGCTCTACAAGCCTTAAACTCCCGAAGGAGAGAGTATGTGCTCCAAGTTAATCTGTTGTAATCTCTTCCTAAAAGACCCCTAAGCGATCATCCAGCAGCTCCATAATCCCCTCCTTGATGGTACCAAACATCACCAGAGTCACATCCAAAATACCGCGAGTGATCTCTGATGTAATGAACTCGCTTATCCTCTTATCAATGGGCTCAGCACCATAGCCTGAATAAGAACCTGAACCAGAACCTCCTCCTCGAGTGCTCACCACCATACTGAAAATCAAACATATAAAAGATCAGAACATACTCGAGGGAGCTCTCACGTTATAAGCTCCTTAGGAGTTCCGTGATTTTCCTTGATTCGATTATGGATCTC